AGAGAGAGAGAGAGAGAGAGAGAGAGAGAGAGAGAGAGAGAGAGAGAAGGAGAGAGAAGGAGAGAGAAGGAGAGAGAAGGAGAGAGAAGGAGATAGAAGGAGGGAGAGGGAGAGGGAGAGGGAGAGAGAGAGATAGATAGAGAGAGAGAGAGAGAGAGAGAGAGAGAGAGAAGGAGAGAGAATGAGAGAGAATGAGAGAGAAGGAGATAGAAGGAGGGAGAGGGAGAGGGAGAGAGAGAGAGAGAGAGAGAGAGAGAGAGAGAAGGAGAGAGAAGGAGAGAGGAGAGAGAAGGAGAGAGAAGGAGAGAGAAGGAGATAGAAGGAGGGAGAGGGAGAGGGAAAGGGAGACAGAGAGATAGATAGATAGATAGATAGATAGATAGATAGAGAGAGAGAGAGAGAGAGAAGGAGAGAGAAGGAGAGAGGAGGGAGAGGGAGAGGGAGAAAGAGAAGGAGACAGAGAGACCGAGAGAGGGAAAGAGAGAGAGAGAGAAAGAGAGAAAGAGAAAAAAGAGAGAGAGAGAGAGAGAGAGAGAGAGAGAGAGAGAGGCGGGGGGAGGGCCTACTTCTGGCCAAGTGCATTTTTTCCCTGGTAATGGAACGCATACTGCACTACCCAAACACGAAGAAAAGTAAAGAGTTTGAGTGAGTCTATATCCTCAAGACATATCTATAGTTCCAGTGAGTTACCTTGAGAATGTATATATTCTCAAATCGCATCTGTAGTTCAAAACATCTTTAATATTTGATATGTCCTTCCTTCTCTTTACGAAGAATTATGAAAACCGAAAGATGGGAACGAAACTGCACTAAGGGATCCTATGGTGTTCCTGTCGTATTGAGTCGCGTTTGTATTTTTATGCAGGGAATATCATCTTTCTCTCTTATTTATGTACATATTTGTCCCTCTGTCCCTTGTGTGCGTTCGACTGCTTTAAAAAAATGTTCTAGGGAAATGTAATTCACTTACAGGTTACTTAGCATACTGTAAGAAAGATGTGTTTTTCTGTCTCGCCTTCCCCCACTCCTCTCTCTCTCTCTCCCTCTCTCTCTCTCTCTCTCTCTCTCTCTCTCTCTCTCTCTCTCTCTCTCTCACTCTCCCTCCCTCTCTCCCTCTCCCCCCCCTCTCTCTCTCTCTCTCTCTCTCTCTCTCTCCCTTACTCTCGCCCACTTCGGCCTCCGAGTGGCATTCGGGCGGCGTTGGAGGGCGAGAGAATCCGGCCGGCGACCGATCGCTGCTCATTACCTGCCTCTTAAGCGCTAAGCCTCGGCCGCCGAACTTCCCGACCTCCTTCCCCGCACGGAAGCCTTATGCCCTTGCGTGTGGGGAATCATAGGCACGGAGGAAAGCCGCAGCCGCTCCTAATCAAACGCTGTCTCTCTCCAGCTACTGAACATTTATTTCTGTACTGAACACAACGGCGGTTTCCCTAAGACGGCTATAGCTACCTGGACACGGATGCCCGGGAAACAACGAGTAATGTCCTTCTAAATGCTGTTGTCGATAAGCCTCGTTAGTCCTGTTATTAGCTATGGGAGGATTTTCAGTATGGTATATATATTTTCTTTTCTTTTTTTTACAGCCATTCCTTCCACTGCAGGACATAGACCTCTCTCAATTCACTATTGAGAGGAGAAGTTATATATAAGCCTTGCCTGAGTGGATGCCCTTCCGCGGTTGCGCCACGGCGGTGACTTCCCCTACGACACCTGCGTTTGATTTCTCAAGGCGATATGTCGTTTTCTCGGGCTCGAGGCAGCAGTCAGAGCGCAGGAAATTGAACTCGGGACCACGAAGGTCGGAGTCCAGTGCTCTAACCACTGGACCATCGCGGTAGTCTATGGTGTATGTATATATATATATATATATATATATATATATATATATATATATATATATATATATATATATATATACATACATATCTATACACATATATATGTATATATATATACATGCATATGTGTATATATATATATTTATATATATATATATATATATATATATATATATATATATATATATATATATATATATATATATATGTACATATATATATATATAGCATATACATACTGTGTATATATATATATATATATATATATATATATATATATATATATATATATATATATATATATATATATATATATATATATATGTATGTGTATATATATATATATATATATATATATATATATATATATATATATATATATATATATATATATATATCCAGCACATCATGTTTATTCTGATGAAGATTTCGCCGTCACTCGGATGGACGCGAACTACATTTCCCTCCCGCATGCGGATGGCCCCTCGATTCTTCCGAAAGTCGAACAGAATACAGCACCGTCTTCACCTGAACTTTCGTTAGCCCTAAGGCGGGAATTCCACAGTTAAATACACAATGAAGGCCACTCCTGAACACAAGTCGATCACAGGGAAGGCGTGTCAAGGAGCATGTAAAAGGTCCATGTCCTGAACCTGACTGAC